CGCGGGGTGCAGCCCTGGGGTGCGGATGGGGGGCGGGGGCCGGGGCCGGATTCGAGACGCGGGGTGCTTGGCCGCCGGGGAGCCGGGCGGGGACCCGGGCCGGGGTGGGCGGTGCTGCTGGGGCGCGGAGGGGCCGGCGGCGCCCGTGCTGCGCGGTGGCAGCCCCCGCCCCCAGGGCTGGACCCTGCTCCGAGGCCCACCCAGCACGCCGCGTCGTTCCTCTCTCCTCTAGTTAAAGATCAGGTTTGTTTTTCTGCTGTGGAAAACTTGGGACCCAGAAATGCCCTAAGAAGGACATATTGTGGATAGCCTCCCCTGGGCTATCCCCCAGCCAGCTCGAGCTTAGGGTGCGCCCTGCGCCCCCACCATGACCTTGTACGAGCCACGTCCTTGCCAGAGCCCTGCTCTGCAGGGGGGGCCGAGGCTGCCTGGGTGCCAGCCTTCAGGGACCCTGTCACCTCTGCCTTGGGTGGTCTGAACCTGGCCCACATCACAGTCCCAGATCTTCCGGGCCCACCCTATGACCGCAATGCCCTCCAGACAGCCCTGGTCAGAGTCGTTCAGGGGCCAGGGCCGGAGGGTCCCTGCCAGGGTGGTGTCCTTGGCCCAGGCCCCAGCTGGCCTCAGCCCCCTGCGGGGAGAAGTAGGGAGAAGGGTGGAAGCTGGAAAACAGGCAGGTTACACGTCCGTCTGTGCCCTCCCTGCCCGCCTCAGGCCTCAGGGGTGTGGTGCTCGGCCCAGCTCTGGGCCAGCGGGGAGCTGAAGGGTCTGAGGGTCACCAGCATGCAGGAGGTGGGGTGGCTCTGACCTCCCAGCCCTGAGGGAAGGCCTTGACCCGCTGCAGGGGTGGCCCAGGAGCAGCAGATGGAAGGGAGAGGGGTTCTGGCAGGTTCCCGGTGGTCTGAGCTCTTAGTATCACCATAGATTCTGAGCCTGTGTCCCCGCCTGTGAAACACCCTCCTGGGTCAATGGTGCAGGCTCAGATCATTATGTCATTACTGTCCCCTGAGCAACCCTCCCCTCCCCAAATGGCTCCACCAGGAGCTGGGGTGGGGTGGGGTGAGGTGGGGGAGCAGCTGCGTGGGACCCACTGATGACTAAGGCCTGCCCTGCCCAGGGGCTCACTCACGCACAGGGGGTCAGGGACTGCCCCTGAAGGAAGCGCCAAGTGCCTGCCTAAGAAAAGGACCTAGGGGTCAGTCAGAGCCAGCCAGGCGGGGATCGTGTTCTGGGAGAAAGGCCACCACGGGAAGGCCCAGAGCCCGGAGGCGGTCTGGCAGGGGAGTGGGCATTGTCTGGCCCCCCCACCGTCCCGCAGGCCCCTGGAGCAATCACTCTGAAGCCGCGGGTCCACCTCCGGGTCCAGTGCTGGCTCCAGCCTGCCCTCCTCCTGCTGTTCCCCCAGGACCCCCACCCAGCCTGGGTGGTTGGGGCCCTCTTGGAACTGAAAGCCCACCCAAGCCCTGCTCAGTACCACCTCGGGCGTTTGCCCGGCCAGCAGAAGGCGCGGACCTTGTCCGGCGACCACACCCCCAGCTCCGCAGCCCCTCACCCACTGTTTCTTTGCTTTCCTGTTTTTCCCTTTGAACAAATCTGACGGAAACAGACGTGGTGGCAGGGACAAGTGGGCCTGAGGCCCAACCCCTTCACTCTGCTCCAGGGCCGCCCCAGTTCCCCCTGCTCCTCCGTGGCCGCTGAGGCTCCCAGCCTGTGTTGGAGCTCTCGGGGGTCCTCCTGCTGCAGCCCCTCCCGGGGTAGCCGGCCCCTCCAGAGTAGGTGCCAGGAAGCAGGAGGTGAGGACCCTGCCTCTCCAGGAAGAACCATAAAAATGACCACAGCTTCTTGGGCTGGGCCCAGAGGCCCCTGCCCAGAACTCGGTGGGGAGCTGGTGGCCCCATTTTTCGGGACAGCCCACAGCCCCCAGCTAACCAGGACTCAGAAAAAACCAGGGCTGGAGCTGCTGGCCTGCCCACGGCTGGGGGCGCATGTGGCCAGTGGGCAGTGGTGCCTCCTCTGCAGGCAGGCTGGCCTGAAGCCCCGAGCCCTCTGCTCTGCTGTCCCTTGCACAGGACAGTGTCTGGTAACCTTGTCCCCTCAGCTGGCAGCTCCTTGACAGCAGCCTGCAAACCCTGGGATTTGCCTGGGAGGGGGGTGGGGAAGGGAGGTGGTGCCCCTGGAACCCCCGCTTGGGGGATGCGTGGGACACAGCTGCCAGGCTCTGGGGCCCTCACACCCTGTGATTCCACTTGTCAGCTGCGAAAAGCACAGAAGCAGTTCCCTGTCATCCTGAACATCGGGGATGGAGCCTCTAGCAGTGAGGCCAGGGGCTTCGATCTTATCTATTCTTTATCGTGGTAAATCATAACAATACAAAACAGACCATCTCAGCCACGTTTAGGTGCCAACTCAGTGGCATTTGGTGCAGTCACACTGTTGTGTGGCCACCATCTCGATCATCTCCAGGACTTTCTCATCTCCCCAAACTGACCCTCTGTCCCCATTAAACACTCCCACCCCCTCCCCAGCCCCCGCCCCCACCAGCTACTTCCTGTCTCTCTCTTTTTTTTTTTTTTTTTAAAGATTTTTATTGGGGAATTGGGGGGATGGGAACAGTGCTGGGGAATTGGGGAAAGGGGAACAGACAAGTTGCTGTCGTTTTGTTCTTCAGTCTAGTTGTGGAGGATGTTGCTTCACTGGCCCAAGTTGGCACCATCATTGCGCTCTTCTCTGGCGAGGCAGATCAGTCGCCGGCTTCTGGATGGCCGCTCACTGCGGCTGCTGGCCGCTCACGCTGGCTGCTGGCCGCTCACGCTGGCTGCTGGCTACACACGGTAGCCCATGGCAATCCACTGCCACAGGGACTGCAGCCCACGCCGTTGCCAGCGACTCATGGCAGCCCAGCTCCAGGTTGAGCTGTTGTTCAGCATCTTAGCTGTAGAGGGCAGTGTCACTGGCCCTCATATGTGGGATCCGAACCGGGGCCCTCTGGCATCCCAAGCGAGTTCTTAGCCATCGTGCCACTCGGCCGGCCCCTTCCTGTCTCTCTTGATCTGACTCCTCTGGGGACCTCCTGTGAGGGGGTGGCGGGGTTCCTACAGGATCCGTCCTTCTGTGACTGGCCCATTTCACTGAGCACAGTGTCCCCAGGGTCCATCCACGTGGTAGCTGGTGTCATGACCTCCTTCCTTTTCAGGGCTGAGTGACACTCCCTGTGTGGAGGGACCCCGTTTGGTTTATCCGGTCCTCTGTTGATGGACACGGGGTTGTGTCCCCACTCGGCAATATGCTGCTGTGTGCGTGTGAGGCCGTGTCTCTCTCAGGCTCGAGGGCCGACTGCGGCCGGGCCCTGCCCTCTGCTCCAGCAGCCTCCAAGCCCCATGCTCCCTGCTGGCCCCAGTCCAGCCGGAACCTTCCACTCGTTGGAGGACAGTGTGCGTGGGTGGAGATCCTCCAGCCTGACCCTGTGTAGAGGTTACATGTCATTATGAAATGAGGGCAAGACAGAAGGGAATTTGCAAAAAATGTCTTTATTCAGCAAAAGAAAGAGTTGCCTACCCTGTAGCCCCTCATTTTGAAATTGATTCTTACCTGCCCATGTATTTAAACGTCTGGGAGCCACCAGGCCAACGCCCCCACCTGGGAGTGGGTGCACTGACGCAGGCGAGAGACCGTGTCTGGACTCTGGGGCAGGGCGGCTGGGTGCTGGCTGGGAGGGGCTGGCAGGAAGGCTGGGTTCTGTGGAAGGGGGCACATGCACCCCAAATGTGGCATTTCCTCACATCCCTCTTCCCCCAGCAGGGCCGGCTCCCGGGCCTCAGGGTCAAGTACGTCTTCCTGGTCTGGCTGGGCGTCTTTGTGGGCGGCTGGCTGGCGTATGTGCACTACGCATCCTATGTGGAGCTGTGCCGCGGGCACGTCTGCCAGGTGGTCATTGTAAGTGTCCCCTTGGGCTGGGCTTGTGGGCTGACATGGGGCACCTTTGTGCCCAGTGCTGTGCAGTCTCAGAGGTGCCAGCAGGGTGGATTGAAGATGGATCCAACTGCGTGGTGCTTGGCCGGCTCTGGCTGGGCTCTGGCTGTCTCAGTGGAGACTGGGGCTGGTGGAAGGGGGCAGGGCTGTGGGGAGGCTGGGGATGGACAGACGGGGCAGACTCCAGAGATGTTTGGGAGGGAGACTGGAACAGGCAAACGTTGGTGTCCTTGGGGGCCCCTGCTGGGGACAGGTTCCCCAAAGGAGGTGGCAGGGCGTGGTCCTCAGAGCCTCCTGCCTGGGGACAGGCAGGAGTCACTGCTCACAGCCTCTAGAGCGGGGATGTGCAGGTGCTCGTTTAAGTGCATGGGCCCGTGTTCATGGGTGTGTGTGCTCACACGTGTGCGTGTGCTGACGTGTTGAGTGTGCGTGATGTGCCTTGTGAGATGTGTGTGCATGTGCTCATGCATGTGTGCGTGTGGCTCGGAGGGTGCGGGTGTGAAGAGCCTGCACACCTAGTTGACTCACTGCTTCTGTTGACGCCTTGTGACTGGCTGGAGGGAGAGGTCGTGCCAGCCTGAGGGCCCGCTGGGAAACCCCAGGCTTCCCCATCTCATCTGCCACCCTGCCTGGCCTTCTTGACAGCTGGTGTCCAGGGTTCGGAAGCCTCCATTCATTCTCCTTGGGGATGGGTCCGTCTGTAGCAGCAGGAACTCCTTGGGGCTCGAAGGGGGAGCCGTGGTTATGGACTCAGGGAGACCCCAGGCTTTGAACTCGCCTCAGCTTGCCCCACCCCGGCCGGCTGGCCTGAAGTTTCTGTCCCTCTTTAAGATGAGGAGGGGCACCTGTCCTGGGTGCTGGGTGGTAACTGAGGACAGCAGGGAAGGGCTCAAGCCGGCCTGCTGTGGCCGGGGTCCCATGGGTGCCGAGTTTGGGAAAGTCTAGAGGTGGGGGTGGGGAGGGACATGGGGTCTGGAGTGGGGAGAGCCCACGTGACTGGACTTTCCAAGGGCCGGGTGGCGTCTGGTTCTCTGACTGTTGGCTGAGTATCTCCCGGGGGCCCGGCCAGCACTGAGGACGCACCCGCCCACCTCCTGAGGGCTACCAGTGAGCTCAGCGAGGTTGCACTGCTCATCCAAGCTCACACAGCAAGGCAGGCAGGAGCAGGGGTCACGGGTCGGGTGTCGACAGTCTCCGGGGGCCTGGCCCGGTGCTGCACATTGAGGCCCCACCACGGGAAACAGGCTGGGAGGTGAGGCGACTCACCTGGAGCCTGATGGGCTGCAGGAAGCCCCGAGGACGCTGGACACACTGCCCACCTCAGCTTCTGCGGAAGCCCCCTCCACAGTCCCGCTGGCTGGGGCCTCGGCCTGAGCAGAGCAGCCCGCCACCCAGGGTTTGGGGGGCAGGGCTGAGCCCTTGCGGTGGAGGGCCTCTCCACAGGGCGGTGGGACGAGGGTGTAGTTCTTAGCTTTCCTTTTGTCTTGATGAACGGCTGTCATTTTCATGACGTCACCGCAGATGCCCCCTTCACGGTTCACAGCTGAGTCCAGAGCTCAGCCTCTTTGTTCGTCCCCGCCCCAAGGCCCTGGAGGCCCGGGCTCTGCCCCCACCCCACTTGGGTGGTGCTGTGCTGTCCCTCCCTTGCATCTCTCCTCCAAGCCTGGCTCCACTGAGGGCCTGGGCTCCATGGCAACGGCGATGCACACCCAGGAATTCACCCACACTCCCCCCAAAGGGAAGGGCTGGAGTCTGTCACCTCCCTGCCACCCATCTCTTCCTGCTAGGGTGGGCCCAGACCCCTGGGACTCAGGGGGCTGCAAGGGAAGGGGCGGCAGCCACACCCGCTTCCTGCTGAGAGCTTCTCCTGGGCCTCTGGCTAATGAGGTGGCCCGGGCGTAGGCCCAGGGGACAGACAGCCCTGGTAAGGGCCGGGCGGGGCCTCCACATCTCGGGGGACAGGGTGAGCTGCCAGGTCCCGTCACCCAGCTGGCAAGCGCCCTCTCAGCAGCTGAAGCTTGGTGCCCGCTGCACTGTCACTTGTGGGGGTGGGGCTGCACCGTTGTCACGGCCCCGCTGGTCCTGCCTCTGCTCATAAGGGCCTGCGGGATGCAGACAGACCCGACCCAGACCCGGAAACACGCTCACAAGCGGTCATGCCGAGAAGCGGTCATGCCGAGAAGCTTGGCGTCTCGTAGGCCAGTGGGGACAAGTGGGAGGGGCTGGCGGCTTCCAGACGGCACTGAGCGGAAGGCCCCCGCCAGCTGGGCAGGTGCCCGGCTGTGTCTTCAGCAGTCTGGGGGCCCTGTGTCAAGTGCTGTGGCCTAAGAACCAGGGAGCCACTGGCACATGGGGTGGGGCCTGGGCCTGCCCACCCAGGGGCTGCGACACCTAAAGAATGGGGCCCGGAGGCCCCTCTGGGGGAGGGCTCAGCCCGAGTCCCCACTTCCCCAGGCCACTTCCTGGCGTCCCTTTCCTCTCCTCAGTGTGACCAGTACCGGAAGGGCATCATCTCGGGTTCCATCTGCCAGGACCTGTGCACGCTGCACAAGGTGGAGTGGAGGACCTGCCTTTCCTCCCTCCCAGGCCAGCAGGTACGTGGGGTCCGGCGCGCAGAGGCCCAGCGGCAGCGGGAGGGGCACATCTACATGGACGACCCCTGTGGCTCCGTCCAGGTGTACAGTGGGCTCTGGCAGGGCAAGGAGGTGACCATCAAGTGTGGCATCGAGGCGAGTCTCAACTCCAAGGCCGGCTTGGACGCGGCCCCCCGGCGGGAGCTGGTGCTGTTTGACAAGCCCACTCGGGGCACCTCGATTAAAGAGTTCCGGGAGATGACCCTCAGCTACCTCAAGGTCAGTTGGCTCTCCTGGGGGCTGTGTCCAGTTCACGCCCAGTTCATGTACAGGGCATGAGGCAGGCCAGGTAGGTGCCATACGGGCCAGCCAGGCTTCGAGAGCAACCCCCAGCTCCAAGCAGACCCTTGCTCAGGGAGAGCCTACTAGGCAGGGCAGACCCTGCTCCCCAGGGGCATCAGTGGGGGACAGCAGGGGACCCATGGGGGGGCGGGGGCAACAGGAGTGGGGTGGGAGCACATGAGAAGTGACCACCTAGCAGGCTCTCACCTGTGCTCAGGTGCCCACCCCCAGGCTGTCTGAGCACTCGTGGAGACACAGGGACAGTCTCTGGGAGCAGCTCCAGGAGAGATGTGGGGTGGTCAGGGCAGGCTTCCAGGAGGTGGTGAGGGGGCCTCCTGCGTCCTTGGTTGTCTCCTCCATCTGTGCGGTTGAAGGCTGGGCTCCCCTCTGTGCAGCCTGCTCCACCGGTACCCAAGGGCCTGGGAGGAGGCACCAAGGCTTCCTGCCAACTCAGACACGCACGACTCTGAGACAACAGTCTCCCTCTCTTTTGGTCCCAAATGTCAGGCGAACCTGGGCGACCTGCCCTCCCTGCCTGCGCTGGTTGGACAGGTCCTGCTCATGGCCGACTTCAACAAGGACAGCAGGGTGTCGCTGGCCGAGGCCAAGTCGGTGTGGGCCCTGCTGCAGCGGCACGAGTTCCTGCTGCTGCTGTCCCTGCAGGAGAAGGAGCACGCGTCTCGGCTGCTGGGCTACTGCGGGGACCTGTACATCACCGAGGGCGCCCCCCACCGCTCCTGGCACGGGGCCGCGCTCCCGCCCCTCCTGCGCCCGCTGCTGCCCCCCGCCCTGCACACAGCCCTGCAGCAGTGGCTGGGGCCTGCGTGGCCCTGGCGGGCCAAGATCGCCATCGGCCTGCTGGAGTTCGTGGAAGAGCTCTTCCACGGCTCTTACGGGACCTTCTACATGTGCGAGACCACGCTGGCCAACGTGGGCTACACGGCCAAGTACGACTTCAAGATGGCCGACCTGCAGCAGGTGGCGCCTGAGGCCGCCGTGCGCCGCTTCCTGCAGGGCCGCCACTGCGAGCACAGCGCCGACTGCACCTACGGTCGCGACTGCAGGGCGCCCTGCGACAAGCTCATGAGGCAGTGCAAGGGCGACCTCATCCAGCCCAACCTGGCCAAGGTGTGTGAGCTGCTGCGGGACTACCTGCTGCCCGGCGCCCCCGCCGACCTGCGTGAGGAGCTGGGCACGCAGCTGCGCACATGCACCACGCTGAGCGGGCTGGCCAGCCAGGTGGAAGCTCACCACTCGCTGGTGCTGAGCCACCTGAAGACCCTGCTCTGGAAGAAGATCTCCAACACCAAGTACTCCTGACGGGCACCCCGGGTCCTACACCAAGGACTCCAGACGGGCGGCCTGGAGTCTGATGCCAAGGACTGCCGTCCCCTGTCAAGGGGCCGCCTGTGGCCCTAGAGAGCCACCCTTACCCTTGGGGCCGCCTCCATCTTCACCCGGCCACCAAAGGACAGGGCTGCTCCACCCAGGCCCAGCAGTCCTTACGATCTCCTGGCAACCAGAACTCGGGCAGGCTCTCGACCCCCCACTTCCCCTAGGGTGTCCCTCTCTTGAGCCCAACAACCCGGACAGATGGACCACTTGGCTGAAAGGGAGGACAGGAAGGGTGACCCACGCAGGCCAAGTCGGGTTTTGTTACTCTGAAGATGTGATGTAAATAAATAGCTTTTCTGTTGAGTCCTCGAGTTCCCCTCACTGCACTCTGGCCCCTGCTCTCCACCGTGCAGACCACACACCCAGCAGCTTGGGCATGAAATGGGGGCTGCCCTGGCCTTCAGCAGAGAAAATGCAGTGTGTGCTTCTCAGGGCCACATCCGCCGGACGCGGCCTCAGCGGGGGTCCAAAACCCTGCCTGACCCCTCAAACCCCTAGAGCCAGCCTGGGGGCAGGGTGATCAGCTGAGACGGGCTGGCGTGTGTGATGGGCGCCGGAGCTGGCCTTCAGCTTTGGTTTCTAAGTCCCTCGAGGGCAAGTCCCCGCCTGGATTAGGCATGACTGACCTGGGACCACAGGAAAGGTTCTAGCAACAAGCAGGAAAGCAGGTTCGGGGTTTGTCTTCGAAACACCTGTAACGCCTGCTGCTCAGAACACCACAGCCCCATCTAGGACGTCTTGATTTTCAGGAACCGCTGCATGTGAAATCCATTATCTGGGAAAGAGCCCAAATCTTTTCCCTGCCCTTCCCGGGCAGGAAGCCCTCCACCTAGGAGCCTGACACGCTTCCCCATGGGGCCCCCGTGCGCACGCGCACACACACCCCTCCCTCCTGTTCCAGCCTCGAGTCATCAGACTGAGGAAAAGGCACGTCAGGACACTTTATTCAGGACCAGTTCAGTCTCATTTTGCCAACTCCTTGAAGAAAAATGCATCAAACAAATCCTTCCAACTCAGTTTTTTTGCTTAAAACACGTTCCAAAATTTCAACCACAATACTCACCTTCTCAGTACTAACGCTTACACCGCATCCTAAATACATCAAAATAACTTTTTCCCAGCTAGATTTTTTTCCCCTTGTGGAGAGAACATAATCCAAATGCAGTAAAACCTAGTTTAGGACTGCGGGCTCTGGGCAGTTAGAAGACTCCGCATGCTGAGTATTAAGCTGACCTCACATGGGCTTGAACTGCACAGATCCACTTACACATGGATTTTTTTCAAGAGGAAATTGTTTTCTGAATTTGCAACAATTTGAAAGAACACACACACTGTGTAGCCTAGAAACACTGGAAAAATGAAAAAATTACGTGTCACAAGTATATAGAATTACGTAGATACTGGTCTATCTTGTGACCGCAGTTCTTGCACTCATTGTTCAGTGCAGAACCGTAACTGAGTAACACCAGGGGACCCACCAGTGCTCCCATGAAGTCAACATTACAAGGAAATGTACTGTGGTGAGGTCTGCAGCTGCGGTCCCCGTTTCAAGGTCAATGAATCCAGCTGAACGAACATAAACCTGTGAAGCCGCTGCTGCAGCCCGCCAGCAGGCATGCAAGCCTTGCACTTCACTAACTACCCTTTTATCTCATGTTGCAAAGGCAGCTTTCATGTGACAACGTAAAGCAAAAGGAAGGTGAAGGATCTAAAGCTTGAGATTTTAACGCCTGCAAAGGATGGTCTGATAATTTTAGAGGTTTGGCTTAAGTCAAGGTAACAGACAAGCAGGTTCTGCTGACCGAGGCCAAAGACGAGCTCCCAGCAGACACCAGTAAGATCTACCCGAATAGGTTTGTAAGGCAGAGAAGTGAGCACCAGGGTTTAAGGCAGGGACAGGCTGTGTGCAAATGCGGTTGGGTTCCCGAGCCCGGCCCTCATCTGTACGGCTCTCCGAGCCCTGAAGAGGAAACACCAGTACGAGAGCCCTTTTCTGGGCTGGTGCCATTGATGCTCTGTCCCAGGCAGGAAGCACCTGGCCAGCAAGAGGCTGCCTTTTAAAGGCCTTATGATGTTGGCAGTGCCCCTAGCCCCTCAGAACCCACGAGTCAACACCAAGGCAGCAGAGCAGGCTACCTGCCCCGACACTGTCTCCAGATCAGGGGTCCCAGGGACCTGTAAGGCTCTTTACACATGGTCTCCATGTAAATCTGGAGGGCTACACCACTGTAGTCGCCATTGCTGTGAAATTACAATGCATTTGGAGGGGGATTAACAACAATGTGTCTTTTACCGTAATGTTTTTTTGATAAACATTCACTGTATTATTTAATCACACCTCGTATGTCCAGTTACACCACACATGCCCCGCCCAACTTAGGCCCCCGCCACCCGAAACAGCAATACCAACCTCCTCCCTTCCTCAACTCGAAGACCTCCGCGACCACAGCCACTTAGTGGGCAGTAAGTAACCCTGCCAGTTCATAAGTTTGTCAGCCATGACGTCGTGTCGTCATAACCCAAGCAGCCTTCAGATCCTTTGCGTGGAGCATCTGCACGACTTGAACGGAAGCAGACAGCCCGCCCCCACAGGCCTAAGGTGAGCGATCCGTAAAATCAAAGTCCGTTTTCGTATGCTTTGTAACTGCCTCCAGAGAATTACATCACCACACAGAATGCCTCCCAACTGGAAACTGTGTCAGCCGATCGCCACCGGTAAGTTTTATAAAACTGGGAGTTCCCAACAGTGCACGGGTAAGACCAGCACACACCGTGAACACGAATAAGCACGTACGCGTGGGTGTGTAGGCCAGGCTGCTGCGAAGCAGTTGTGGCTGCTTCCTTGTCAATGCACGGACCCTTAACGCTTGTAAATAAACACAGCTCACTTTATTGTAACAGTACACACTATGTGACACATGCCACACTCATAAAACGTGTTAGTGGACTGGTATGTCATCGGTGAAACTTCCGGACAGATTGGCTAATAGTAAACTCACAGCTGAGCACACAGGGCTGCTTTCAACACCAACAGCCTGACCAGCATGAATTTATGAGCCTGCAGGTGCTCCATGGGAGGACGCCTCTCAGGGCCTCACCTGTTCCCGCTGACAGGCCTGGCCATCTTTGTGAGGAGCGGGCAGCGTCCTCCTGGTTCTCCTTCCTCCAGAACTGAGATGCCGCCTGGTCTCATCTGGCAGATGCCCATCTGCAGAGAGAACACCAGTCAGTCCCGAGTGGCCCACCAGCAGCCCACCCGCTGCTCCCTACAGTCCTCACCTGGTCCAGCGCCTTACCTTGGCACGGAGACCTCAGGACAGACAGCAAGGCAGACGGACGGCTTCTGGAATGCAAGGACAAAGGACATGGCCGCTGGAAGACGCCTCAGCCCTCTTCTCAACACTCCATTCACCACCCAGTTTCTGGCGGAATTCACACAAGTCAAGAGTAACAGACCCAGGGGCCGGCCGAGTGGCGCTGTGGTTAAGAGCTGGCTTTGGGGCGCCAGAGGCCCCGGTTCGGATCCCACATATGAGGGCCAGTGACACTGCCCTCTACAGCTAAGATGCTGAACAACAGCTCAACCTGGAGCTGGGCTGCCATGAGTCGCCGGCGACGGCGTGGGCTGCAGTCCCTGTGGCAGTGGATTGCCATGGGCTACCGTGTGTGGCCAGTAGCCAGCGTGAGCGGCCAGCAGCCGCAGTGAGTGGCCGTCCAAAGCTGGCGACTGATCTGCCTCGCCCGGGAAGAGCACAATGATGGTGCCAACTTGGGCCAGTGAAGCCACGTCCTCCACAACTAGACTGAAGAACAAAACGACAGCAACTTGTCTGTTCCCCTTCCCCCAATAAAAAAAAAAAATCTAAAAAAAATAAAATAAAAAAATTTTTAAAAACTGTCAAATAAATGTGTGTATATACACACATATATATATATATATGTGTGTGTATGTATATATATATATATATATACATACACACACACACATACAAAAAAAAGAGTAACAAACCCAGCCTCATCAAAGTTCAAAGACCAAAAAGAAAGCCCAGCTCTAAGAAAACAACCTTCTGACTGAAGCGAGGCTCTACTGTTACCAATGAAGGTAGTCACCGAGCAGGCTACCCAGCGACGTCCTCCGGTACCAGGCCCACTAACTGCCTGCAGCGTCACCTCACCCTGCAGACAAGCCACATCTGGGCAAACACCAGCAGCTGCTCAGCAGTAGCAAGAGCAGCCGGAAGTTCAAGGACACTGTTCTCGTAACAAATGCGCTCCCTCCCAAAACTTGAAGGGCCACCTGGATAAAGGACAAACCGACACTTGACCCTGCCAGCCTGCGGCGAGCACTGGACACACTGTGGTGGGCAGGTCCCGCCCTGCCCTGTGCTCACCTGGCAGTCCCCTCCATATCAGGGCTGGCCAGCGTGACCAGTGATGATGTCCTTCCCCAGGCGGGGTCACGCTGGCTCTGGGGACAGCCAGCCGACCTGTTCTGAGGACCCTCGGCTCTCTTTGGAGAGACCCCCACAGAGCTGTCTCAAGGCACCAAGTTTCTGGGCCATTTGTTACTTGGCATCAAGTACCCAGCACACCATCTAACAGGTGACGTGACCGAGGCCAGCCCACAGGCTACCCTGCCCTCACCAAAACATGGATGCTTTGCCATCACCCAGCTCTGCTTAACGAGGGCAAGGCACTCACTAGCATCGAAAAACGGCCAACATACTACTGAACCCCCTCACCCCTCAAGGGACAACCGCCCATGCCCCACAACACAGCACAAATCCTGCACACAGGTGCCACAGCAGAGTGCAGACAACAGAAGAGCCGAGTCAAGCCTCCCCCAAGAGCATCACCTGGGGGCAGCACAGGACATGGGCACGACACCCCACCTTGGCTGGCAGGGTGGACCCCTTCCCAAGTCAAGGACTCACCCTCATTTTCCAGGTGGCCAACCAGCTCCAGCTAGCCAATGACCCCCGACACCTCCCTCCCAAACGAGGGAAATTCCATGCTCCGTCCTCAGCCAGCCGCCCCCCGCCCCCACTTACCATCCTGAAGGGACAGCCTGTACATCGTCTGTTCCACTGACCGGCTGCTGGGCCCCAAGCTGGGCCCACGCCCTTGCTGCGCCCTCAGGATCTGAGAAACGGAAGACGGTGAGCCCAGGCCAATCTCTCCTGCTTTGACCGATGACACCCTGAACATACTTCAGGGAACCCAATCTGTGGAACCCCAAGCTGCACCGAAAGTGGTTTTCCGATGCAATTCTACAGCAGGGCTTGTCCACCTCAGCACTACCAACATTTGGGGCCCCGTCTGTTCCCTGTAGGACATGGGCAGCACCCCTCATTCCTGCCCATATGTTGTCCCCAGACAGTGCCCTGGGAGGGGCACACAAATTTCTCCCTGGGCGAGAGCCACTCATCTATAGCTTTTGTTCAACCCTCACACTAAACACTTTAGGAAATAAATGCAAAATGTCTTACTATATTTTAAAAAATACAAAACCAGGGAGTTTCTTACCTTGAACAGCTGGCCCGAGATCTTGGCTGGCTCTAAGGGCCGAGCTCTCCACCTGCAAGGGGACAAGGACAGCCTGGTTACACCTGCCACCCCAGTGGGGTTACCAAGAATGGCCCCTCCATCCCCAGTGCCCTGGTCTGGGCGGTCACTTACAAGGTTACGGTCGGCCTACTGAGGGCCTCTACACGGGCCCTAACTTCGGTCCCCTCAATAGGGCCAATGCCCGGAGTGACCCTCGGCACGCCTCCCAGTCCCTGAACTGATCAAACCTCGCCTGCTACTCGAAGATGCTCTGCTTGTCTCAAGGGTCCCTAGAGAACGGGTGTTCACGGGTGAGATGCATCCCGACCCCCACGCCCTACAGGGAGTTATGACGGGGACAGGGCCCTGCCATTCGTACCAGCCCAGCAGCTCTGAGCCGGCGATGCAAGTCACACGTGCCCAAGGACTGCTGAAAAGCCCCTCCTGACTTACAGAATGCCCCTTTCCAGGAGGGAGGCCCTCTCCCAGTTAATCCCACTGCACCTCGTTTGCCTTGTGTACACACACACACGCTCATTTAATCCTCAGAACACGCCTCATTTCACGTATGCAGAAAAGGAAAATGTTTAGGGTCTCACCCGGAGTTCCCAATGTCAAGCCTGAACACAGTTCTGGCTACAAGTGCACGTGGAACAAATGCTACCTTGCAGGCGGCACGAAGGAATGTTAGGCTACAAACCATTCTCAGGGCTCACTGTTCTGAGCACTGAGTGTAGAAATAGCCACTTCCTCTTTGCCCCGAAGTACAGGTGCAGCACGGCAGCTGCGTCCGTGGTGCTGGCAGTCCAGCATCTGCAGGGCAGCCGTTCCCACCCAGCACAGAGTCTGGGGTCCAAGTACTACACTTTATCCGCCCCCCCCGCCCCCCATTCAGTGTTTAAATGTTTAAAACTCCTGAAGCTGCTACTGACCAGGGAGTCCTCTATCTTTTCCACCATCACCTTCATATCCCCAACGAGCAGCCCAATATGGACACCAGAGAGCTACTAGTGAGGTGCTGACCAACAGATTGGAGCCCACAAAACAAGAGGGGAAATTGGCGACACAGGAAACCAGCAAAGCCCTGGCATTTTAAAACCCCCACCCGCTGGGGAAAGCTAGCACAGTGGCCTGCAGAGCTGTCTGTGACGTTCAAATCCTGCGACTGAGGTTCCTGTCTGCACAGCCCATACATTTGTTTGAAGAGACTGGGCTGCTAGCCACGGATACTTTGTAACACTTAAATCTCCCTAAAGTAATCTGCACGATCTGATCGTGAAGTGACATTCAGCTTACCCAGGAAGGAAAATTTTGGTGCCACCCTCCCTTTTTGTCACCCAACGTGACAGGTAAGGAACAGAGATCTTCAGCAAATCGGCCCGGAACCTACTCACCTTTTCTGCTCATGACGGAACCAGTGGCCCGGTCCTACCTCCTGCTGTCGAACGCATGGCCACCTCGTGACCTGAGGCCAGCCGAGAGCTAGGAAAGAATTAAAGGAGCTTTTACTCCATAGGCTTCAGGTTACCAGGACGCACCAACAGCCCAATGCGCTCTGCCAAGTGTCAGACTATTAACCATCCAGACGTTCACGGGCCAGAACGCTGAGCGTAGGCCAGTCTCTCTTCTCTCTGCCGCCTAATGACACAAATGTGACACAGCAGCCACATCTGCAACGCCTCTAGGGGCAGTGCATATGGAAGACGAAATAATTCACGCTTTTATTCCCTCACCCTGTGGATGCAAGAGCCACGAGTCCCAACAGTCGCCAGGAAGGGCTGAATTTGCAAGTCATTCCTCAGGGGCGAACCTGCTATCACCCCAAACCCCAGAAGGCCCTTCCAGGCACTTAAGTTTCCAGGAGGCAAACTTTCCAGAGCAAAAAAGAAACCCACACGTTATAAGAAACACAAGCAGCACTCAGCCCCTGGAACCCACCGCACACAGCAGACGGCCACCTGTCCCCACCAGCCACCTCGCTGAGTGTCGGAGCAGCAGTCACACCCACTGTGCAACTCGGAAACCGCTTAATTCTGCACAGAACCCAGTTAGCAGCGAGTCAACCCGCCTTTTAAAATAAAAACAGGTTACTAAAAATATAAACTTACTTCCTCAACGTCCGTTAGGGGCGGGAAAAGCCGTGCGGATGACGGGGGCGGGGGCCACGTTTCTCCAACGACCAGATTCCCCCGCTCCACTGTCGCCAGCCCGCCCGACTTCCCGACGTTTCGCAGCTGGAACGATGCAGCGAACAGGAGAGAGACGGCGCCCTTACCTCCCGGCCGCCATCGCCCCGTCTCCTCCCGAGGGCGCGTCCCTCCCGGAGGCTGCGGGTCAGCAGCGCCTCCTCCCGCCCGCCCAGCAAGGCCCGGGTGCAGCGCGGCGGCGGGGCGAGGCGGGCTGCAGCCGCCCGGGCCACGACACCGAGGGCGCGCGGAGCCGCCATCAGCACCGCCGCCCGGAAAGAACGGCGGAGCGCGCGACGCGCCTTTTATACGGAGGACGGCGGCCCGCGAGGGTCAAGCCGCGCCCGCCCCGAGGCCGCCGCCCTCGCCGCAGCGCCCTCTAGCGGGCCTTCCCTTCGCTGGCGCCCGGGCTCCCTGGACGCAGCCAGGCCCAAGCGGCCGCGACTCCCACCCTCGGCCCGCGTCTGCGGCTGGGTCCGATGAGGGCGAGCCCCGCGCAGCCATGGGTCCTCCTCTTGTAGGGTGAGACCCTGCAAAATGGGGATCCCAGTGGGACCTACCTCCCGTGAAGGCGGGGCTGCATGAGTCAACCTACGCAGAGCGCTTAGAACAGTGCCAGGCACATAAGCACTCGACGATGTCTTCTGTAGTCACTGTCGCCCACCGTATGTTGGGCCCTGAAGCTGGGGCCACCTCTTTGTTCCCGCAGAAAAGCCTCTCCCTCTCTGGGGAGCCCCGGTTGAGCTGTTCCTCCTGCCTGCTGGAACGCCCCTGTGTCTCTGCCTCCCCCACCCCAACCCCACTGGGCCTGAGGCCCTGCCAAAGGCTGGACCTTCCCACCCATGAGCCCCTCAGGACGCTCCCCAGAGGGAGCTCTGCTTCACCCACTCAGCCTGTTCTCCACAGCCACAGGCGAAGACCAGGAGGGCTCTGGTGCTGGAGCTGGCTCGAGCTGCAGAGTGTGTGATAGAGCTGACTCCAGCTCTGGAGTTGGTGTTGGACCTGGTGCTGGCACTGACTCTGGAGCACTGGATCTGGAGCTGGTGCTACTCAAGCTGGAGCTGACTCTGGAGCCGGCCCTGGCTCTAGTTCTAGAGCTGGCACTGGACTGGGAGCTAGAGCTGGTGCTAGAGCTGGCTCTGGCTCTGGAGTTGTCTTTAGAGCTGGAGCTGGAGCTGGAGCTGGTGATAGAGCTGCAAGAAGACAAAAGTTCAGCAACACGCCTGTCTTTCCAAGACAGAAAACATTCCACTGCCTCCTAGAGAAGTCTCAGGCCAGGAGGTCTTCCACAAATGCAGTCCACCAGATGGCGGGCTGAGGCAAGCCTTTCCTCCTGGCCCAAAGCCAGCCTCTGGGGGCTCCTCCCTGTGTGTCCCCGATCCCGCCCATTCTCCTCACCCTCCAGCTCAGCCTCAGTGAGTTCCATGTGCTCCAGCTGAGCCAGGAGGAGGTGGGCGCGGCGCTCCAGGTCGGAGCCGGGCATGTTGAGCTGCACGTAGGCCACCAGCTGCTTGAGGCAGGGAAAGTCCGGGGGCTGGCAGAAGTCCTCTGAGTACTGGTCCAGCCAGGTGCCCAGGATGGAGGAGATGGCACTGGGGGAGGCAGGTGGGCAGGCAGCAGTCAGAGGCCCAGCCTCTCCTCCATGTGGCCCTCCCATGACACCCCTGCAGGGGCTGGGCTCTGGGCCCGTCTCTGCCCAGCCAGAGGCCAGTGCACCCAAGCCCACCCTCACTTGGCTGTCCAGGCAGGGGCTGGCAGTGTCTCCAGGGGACACCATCAATGGTGTGACCACCTCTCCCTCCTCAGGAAAGACTGACACAGTCCTGCTGTCCCCCGGCCCCTCCCTACTGGAATGTGAGCTCCAGGAGGGCACAGACTGGCACAGTCAGTGCTGCAGAAACGAGAGGGAGGAGGGGACAAGCAGGGTGTGTCCTCCTGCCAGCCTTCACAGGGCCCTGTGGCACCGCATCCGCAGCTCATGCACCACGTGCTGCCCGAGTCTCTGTGACCACACGCGGCTCTCACCTCCCCTCTGACACTGTTCCTGGGAACAGCGCAGCTGGGCTCGGAGGACCGAGGTGGGGCTGATGTGTGAGCAGGCGGCTCTCAAGCCTCCTGTCCTGGGTGCCCGGACTGGGGCGGGGGCGAGCAGGGCTGGGATGGGCTGTGGGGGACGGCTTCTCTCCAGGGCCGGCTCTGAGCCCCCAGCCTCCCCTCTGTTCCCTGGGGACCCGGGGCCCGATCCACAGATCTCTGACCCTTTCCTCCTGCAGGAGAGGCCCCCAGACCTCAGGCCTCCAGCGGGAATCACAAGATGTGTGGGAGCCAGGGTTCTGCCCCCAGTGCCCACCCTCAGCCCCCAAACGCCCCACCGTGGAGACAAGAGGCCCTCCCATCAGACCCAAGGTCCACTCACTTTTTCAGTTGGTCCTGGGGTCCGCCGTCCTCGTGGGAATAAGGGAGGATGCATCCATATCTAGAGGAGGCCGTGAGGGCGTCACATCTACCGTACCTGCTATGATGTCTGGTGTTATTGGCTGACTCCCCAACTAAGATGGAGGCCGGGAGGGCGTCACACCTACGATCCCCGCTATAATGTCTGGTGGGACTGGCTGACCCCCAACTAGAATGGAGGCCAGGAGGGCAGGGACTTTTCTCTGCTCTTGTCACTCAATTATGCCAAATGCCGGAAAAGTGCCTGCACACAGAAAGGGCTTCAAATACATTCATGGAATGAACGAACCCCAACTGGCACCCTACAGATATCGGGGTGAGCCTGGGACCACTCAGCCAGCCCCCAGGGATCTGGCTACGCATGGAGGGGACCCCCAGACAGAATCTGGAACCTCTATTCAAATGGGAGGGCAGTTTTACCCAAGGGCACAGGACAGTGAGGCCTGGGGCAGAGAGCAGCTGGGTGGGGGGAGGGAAGGCAAAAGTGAGGACCAGCACAGCCCTGGGCAGCCCTTCCCACAGGCCAGGCCCCGGGCAGCACTCTCCCCAGAGTCCTGACTACCCTGGGGGTTGGCCCTCTCAGCACCCCCGTTTTCACACGAGCAAACTGAAGCTCAGAGAGGTGAAGTGACACCCCTGAGACATACAGAGCGGGTGGGTGGGGAGCCAAGGCTGTGGGGGAGGGGTGATCACCTTTTGAACAGCAGGTCCAGGACCTGCTGGGTGGTGGTGAAGGTTCGGTAGGTGCACAGGAAGATGGTGACATAGGAGAGGTCGCTGCTCTGGAAGGCAGGCACCAGGTGCTCCACCAGCTTCTCCAGCGTGCCTGCCTTTACGGTCTGCACCTTGCAGGTCTCATACAGGTTCAGGGCCGCCTCATTTTCACACTGGGGCTCATTCTCAAAGGAGGGACAGTTCAGAAAACATAACAGTACAGAAACATGCAGTCTGTTGGTTTGGATAATGTTAAATATGTGAAAAGTGACTTTGGACCTGGCCAAGGCTGTGGCTGGATGGTGGGAGGGTCCCAGACTTTATAGGCTGACTCTGGCCACTGAGGGGGCAAAGCCCTGGGCTGTTGCCTTACAGCTACCTCCACGACCGCCCCCGCTGCATGAGCCCCTGACCCAGTCGGTCATGAGAGTGTCTCAGCATGCCTGAGGCCCGGTGGCGTGATATCAGTAATGCTCTCTAGGGGAGTGTCCCGGCAGTCCTGGAACCCCGTGGAATGATATCGGTCACCTCCCTTATATGGAAGGACACAGTAACAAAGTGTCCTGGGGGCTGTGCAGTGATGTATGAAGGCACAGTACATGTTGGAATACAGTGGGAGCTGGTTAATGGAAAACAGCCTTAAGGCACATAGCAACGGATCTTTGAAAAACACAGTTTCACTTCCTTGTAAGAACATAATAAAAGCCATGCGCTGACCCGATTCGGGGCTCAGTCTTCCAGGCTGGGTCCCTTGGTCTCGCTCTTATCTGACTTTTGTCTCTTGTTTTATTCAATCTGCGTCGCCCTCTTGGGTCCCATTAGCCCTTGCCACGCGGGACATGACACTGGGCTGCCTGGGCAGGAGGCCTTTCTGGCCATCTCCGGGCCCTGCTTCTGGGGCCTCCTCCACGGCCGCACTCACCTGGAGCTCCCTGGCCCTTGCTGGTGGCACGGGGCTCCTGTCTCCACTCGCTCTGGCCCCAAATCCCGAGCCAGGCTCTTCCAGGTTCCTCCTCTGGTGGCTGCAACTCATCCCCCCAAGATACCAGCTGTCAGGGCACGGCCCTGTCAGGTCTAACAGGGCATATTGGGTACTATGGCAGGACGGGGGAACTCGGGGTGGGGAGTCAGTCCCTGCCTCTCCATGACCTCAGGCACACTCACCGTCTCCTTTGCTGCTTCTGGGCTCTCTTGGGGTTCATCCCCAAGGTGGCAAACTTGGAGTTCTCCTGCTACGATCGAGGCTATCCTCCACCCCTTCCCTGAGCCCCTCAGGAGCCTCCCCAGCTGGCTCCCCCCCCATCACCATCCTGTCCGTTCAGAGGTGGCCCCCAGGCCCTCCGTCCCTTGCTGCTCCTCCAGGAACGGCCCCCACCCTGACTCTGTGCTCCCTCTAGGTCCTTATCCCCCTGGAATTGTCCCGCTCGTTTGGGTGCACTTGTCCAATCACCCACCTGGTGGGGGCCACCCTTCCTGACTCATTTTGTTCCCAGCACCCCCAGAACTAGAGCAGAGCAAGTGACCAATACAAACTCCTGGATCCCTGTTGGTCACCGGGCCACATCCAGTGCAGTTTCCAGGGGGACTCTCAGCGCAGAGGATGGCAGGGCCCAGGCAAGGGTATGGAGTGGGTGCCATTCCAGGCAGGCAGGCAGGGTCTTTTGGCCTGGACACCCCACCCCCATTCTCCCAGGGCTGCTCCCTCCACCCAGCCCCTTGGTCAAGGACGAGGAGGAGGGCCAGTCCCGTATCTCGTGTGTCTTTGTGCCTCCCTGAGTTACTGTCCTGCCCAGGCCTGGAGCCACCTGTGACAGCCTGAATGGCCTGCTTATGAAAGGTGACACGGACCCTCTGCCACTGTCAGCCTCGCCCGTTCAGTTGGGAAGCAGTTTTGTCTCCTGATGTCAGTGTCTTGGCTGCCCCCAGCTGGCCTGTGGAGCTCTCAGCTCTCTCCATCAAACTCAGTTTGGGGACATCTGACCTGCACACACCCAGGCCCATATCCCGTGGGGTCAAGCCCTGGAGGTACCCCTCAAAACATACCTATCTGTATATTTGCATATTTCAGGTTTGCAAATTAAAGTCATGCTGGTCACTCAGTGGTTTCAAAGTGGCATCCAGTTCCCTGCACTGTCCATACCATGAGCCATGACCCCCCCACCCCCACCGAGAGAAGAGGCCGAGCAGACTGTGCGGTTACATGGTTTAGAGCAGGGGGCCTGGTCTGGTTTCCACCCTGCTCAGAGGTACTGGGCCTCCCCAGGACTCGGCTTCCTCACCTGTGCGACGGGGATGATGATTGGTGCCCGTCCTACCTCTCAGGAAGACGATGAAAAATCAAATTACAGAGGAGATGGGAAAGGCAGTTTGAGGGGGAAAGCACAAGGAAATGTTAGGAATAGAGGTAGCTAGATATTGTCCCCTGACCCGTGAGCTGAGGACGACGGACGGCAAAGCAGACCTGGAGGTACGTCTGGCAGGTGCAGGAAGGGGCAGTCAGCAGTGAGGTGATCCCTGCCTGGGAACCTGCATAAGCAAGACAGGTGCCCGAGGCACCCTCCCCAGGACAAGACATCTGGGACTCCAGTCTTCCTGTCCCCATGTGCGCTGCAGGACCTGGGCTGCCACAGGTGTCGTGTGTCCATCCACACAGGGCCACCCCGTCCCAGACCCGCTGTCCGGACACTCCCCAGCAGGTGCACAGGGGGCATGGATGCTGAGGGCCACAAGGGACCCTGGACGGAGGACGCATGCCTCACCCCAGGAGCACAAGTGCTACCAGGGAGGGCCGCACACGAGGGAGCACCAAGAAATCTGCGTGGGCAGGGGTCCCCTGGTCTTTCCTGACCATGGGGAGGGTGCCCGTTCAGGTGCCCTAGGCTGGCTTGTGGTTGGGCCACAAGGGTCTCTGACCCCCGACACTGAAGATGGTGGTCTCGAGGGGCAGCTGGCACCTGTGCTGTCCCTACGCCTGCCCATTTCCTCAGAGCTCAAGGACCCTGAGGGCTCCACAGGCCAGGTAGGTATCTGATGTCACACCAGTGACAGCAAGTCAGCATGGACCACAGTGCTGATCTGAGGTCCAAGCCGCCCTCTGCCCAAATGTGTTTTATGTCTGTTGGAATCCTGCTGTCGGCTTCGCCTGTTCTGTCCCAACCCAGACGGGGTCTTCTGAGTGGCTGGCCCTGCGACCTCGTTACAAAGCAGCCCCTGAAACCAGACAGCGAGGGAAACAGCCCAACAGAGGGCCATTCTGGTTGAGAATAAACACCAACCTGGTATAAGAACATACCCTACAAAGGACTGATCTCAGGGTGGAAGGGCGGGCTTCAGATTTGGGGATAAGCGTGTTTTCTGGGGGGTCCTCTGTGCACCTGCTGGGCCCTGGAGTCATGAGCCCCGGGGTGGGGGCGGGCAGCTGCTGAGAATTGTGACTAGCAGTGCAGACGCAAGGCTTGGACTGGGACTTGCTAAGGACTGTGGCCAAGGACGGAGGGAGGCTTGGCTGCTTTTTTTATTTGGGAGCAGAGCGGACACATCACGGGGAATGACCCACGCCTGGCTTGGTCAGTGTTCCTGGGGAAGCAGCGTCAGCTGGGCCCTGGGCCAAGGCCCCTGCCTGGTCCTGCAGCCGATACAGGGCCTCGACCTGCCTCCGCTTCTCCTTGGCCCGGATGATGGCCTTCTGGAAGAGCTCGCAGAAGAGCTGGACGGATGGGGGCGAGTCGTCGTTGCCAGGCACGGGGTAGGTGATGAGGCAGGGGTTGCAGTTGGTGTCCACGACGCCCACCGTAGGGATGCTCATCTTGGCCGCGTCTCTCACGGCCACGTGGGGCTCGAAGACATTGTTGAGCGTGTGCAGGAAGATGATGAGGTCTGGCAGACGGACTCCGGGGCCCAGGAGGAGGGGGGCGTTGGTCAGCAGGCCGCCCTTGAAGTAGCGGGTGTGGGCGTACTCGCCACAGTCCCGGGCCGTCCTCTCGATCAGGTGTGAAAACTGCCGGTTCCGGCCCACGAACAAGATGATGCCCCTGCGGTAGGCCACGTGAGCCACGAAGTTCAAGGCCAGCTGCAGGTGCGCGGCCGTCTGTTCCAGGTCGATGATGTCCTGGTCCAGGCGGCTCCCAAAGATGTAGGGCTCCATAAACCTGCCGGGGACCCGCCCAGGCGAGCCATCAGGGTTCCCGTGGCCACTTCCACAGGCCCCGTCCTCTGTGAGGGGCACCCACCCCAGGGTACCATTTGCAACCCCTCCCCATGAGAACAGACAGCAGTGAGGACGCTGTCCAGTGAGTGACAGTGGGGCAGGCCTGGGTTTCAGGCCACTTCCATGTCTTGGGCAAGTGGCTTAACCCTCTGAAGCTCTACCTCGTTATGTGGGTACCCTAACAGAAGTCACCCCACATGGAAGTCTGGACATTTAAACATGTCAACAGGGTATCCTGTGTAGGGCTGTTCATTTCACAGCCACTTGTCATTATTACCATTGTTTCTGGGCTTTATGACCGAGGCCTCTGTGGGGCTGGGCTGAGGGACCAGCAAAGCAGTGGGGAAGCCCCAGGCTTCAAGTGCGAGGAGTCGGGACAGGAGCCAGCCAGGCCTGGGACGGGAACCCCGAGGACACAGACCTGCTGCCGGCCGGGTAGAGCGATAGCGGGCGGAGGGGGCTGTCCTGAGCCTCAGCACACGGCACGTGCCGTCTCCACCGGCCACTCCCTCATCCTCACCTCTGCTGCACCCTCCGTCTCGCTCCCATCTGGAACCTGCGCCTTCCTCTCAGACTCTGCCCAAAGCGCCCACGTCACCATACTGCCCAGGCCATGGGCCTGCCCCTGCCCGCACGTGACACGACTTCTCAGCCGCCTCCCACAGTGGGGCATGTCCTCCTGCTCTGCCTGTGACCTCTCCTCCTCAGGTGCTCTCGAAATGGACCACTGACGTGGTGGCCCTGCAGGCCCAGGCTCTCCCCGCCAGCATTGGCACGAAGGTGGCCAAGGGGTCACCCCTCACAGGACCCAAGCTCCCGATGTCCCCCAGGCCTCCCCTTCTTCTGGTCATCTTGGTAAAGATCACCGACACCCCCACCTCTAACCCAACCCAACCCTGGGCTCCAGCTATGCCCTGGGCGGGGGGGGGGGGGGGGGGCGTCACCTTCCGCTTCACATCGACAACCACCTTCCTCGCTGGCCTCCCACCTGCCCCTCCAGTGCCCCCCGATCCAGTCTCCACGCAGCCATCACAATGACCATGGGACAAGATCAGGCCAGTTATGGCTGCTCTGTGGAACCTGTGGACCTCCCCTCACTGTGCAGGCGGCCTCGCCAGACCCCTCAGCCCCTCTCCCCAGCTCACAAGACCAGCCTGCCTCCACCTAGGGCCGTCGGCCTCCCTTACAGTAAGAAATCTGGTGTGTGTGTGGGGGGCCTAAGTGAGGGGGGAAGAGGGGGTCTGAGGACAAACCCCTGCCTCTCTTGGGGCCCAGTGAGCCCATCTGGAGGAGGAGGGGGCTACACTTACTCAGACAAACTGCTAGCCACGAGCACCGTGGCCCTGGACTCCAGGACCCCAAGGCAGGAGGGTCCCCACGCCCCGGGAACACCACCTACCTGTGCCGACAGCCCGCCTTGTGCCCCAGATGCACCCGAGCATCAAAGAGGCTTCTCACGGAGAACAGCTCCTTGACGTTGAAGAAGTCGGAGTGCTTGAGGGGCTCGCTGAGGATCCTGTCCTGGAGATCTGGGGCAAGGAGAGGACGCGGTGTCTGGGTGCCCCTACTGGACCTACAGCCGGATGGAGGCCACACGGGGGGCGGGGGCAGTGGAGCCTGGCGGCTGAAGGGACCCAGGGCCACAGGGTCCTTTTCAGGAGATTCAGGACAGAGGCTGGGTTCTGACCATGGCTTTGCTCCTGGGTAAACCTCACTGGGAAGGGAGTGGGGCCCAGCTGGTTTCTGGGGTCCTTTTGGTCCCCCCCAGTGCCAGCTGAGACTCCCCATCAGGAGTCGGGGGAGGGCTCTGAGCCCTGGGGCAGTGGCACGGAGGGGAGCGGATGCCTGGGCTGCAGCGAGGCAGGCACCAGCTCAGTCGTGGGTGGGGGTGACTCTTGAGGCCCCTTTAAGAGCGCAGCACCTAGCCTGGGGGGGCTGCTGGGGGGCTGGGCCGCCTCTTCTCCTCCCTCGGTTCCGACCCCTCCAGGGTTTCACATCTAAACCAAGGGGGGGGGCTCAGGACTCCTGGCGGCAGACGACTTCAACCCAAACTGGGGAGGCCTGGCGCGGGCCCGGCCCCCCATTCCCCTCGGTCTGCCCAGGGACCTGCATTACCGGGGCCGCCCTCGGGCTCGCTGACGACGGGCGCCGCGGTGCTTCCCAGCGTCCTGCGGCTTGGCCGGCCCGGCCCCGCGGCCATCGCTTTGAGGACGTGCAGCCGGAGCGGCCCGGGGCCGACACCTGTGGAGAGAGCGGGCTCGTGGCGCGCGTCCTCCCGTCCCCCCTCCCGCCCCCAGGTCCCCAGGCGGCGACCCTGCCGGCCCGGGGAGAGGGGCTCTCCGCTCACCCGCACTCAGCAGCCGGGGTAGCGCGGGCGGCGCCATTGCGCGGAGGAGGCAGCCGCGGCGGCGGACGCGGGTCCACGGCGGCTTCTCCTTCCGCCGCGGCCCGCGCCCCCCGCGCACCGCCGCCTGCAGGCCCGGAGGTGCCACTGCGCTCCCCGCGCCGCGCTGCGGGCCCGGCGCTCGAGTCGTCCAGGTCCGCCGTCCCGGGGCTGCGCGAGGCGCTGAGCCCGGCTCCTGCCCACGGCCGGCTCGGCACCGCGGACGCGCGAGGACGGAGGAGCGGGCCGGAGCCGGGGTCGGGGGGCGCGGCCCCTCTCGCCGTCCCTCCTCCCCGAGTCCCCGCCGGCGCTCTGGGAACCGCGTTGGGGGCGGCCCCGCGCCCTCCAGCTCGCCCCCGCCGGCCGAGGGGCCCACGAGCCGGCCGAGTGGGAGCGAACACCCCGGGCCCTGCGACCCGCGTCGCCTCCGGCCAGTCTCACCCAAACGCTCGCTCTCAAAAATCGTTCTAATTTTTAAAACAGTACTTGTCTTAGGAGGAGTCCATAAAGTTAGGCAACTCCGGGTACCGGGGGGGCACGAAGTCGCGGGGTCCAGAAGCGCCCCTGGTGCGCACGGCGAGCGTCAGGTCCTTGCAGAACTTGAACTCCCGCAGTTCGCTGGTGAAGCCCCGGCATCGCGGTCTCATTTGCCCAGAAATCCACCTTCTCCTGCATTTGGGACAATGTCGGGACGTGTCCTGCGCGCGATGACTGCCCCCCGCCCCCGGCACGCATTCCGGGGTACCTGACACTACAAGCCCAGGAAGGGATGCCTTGTTATCCCGGCCAGCCCGGGCCCTGGGTGCTGGCCCCGAAGGTGCTAGACTTCGCATTTGGGCCCCGCTGGCCAGCTGGGGGTCCCTGGCCGGAGAGGTGCGGTGCCTTTAAGACCTGACCCACTCTGTCAGGTGACCAGGCCGTCGCTTAGCAACAGGACGCCGCGCGACCCCCGGAGCGCGGGCTGCGGAGAGGCTGTTCCCTGCCTTGTGTTTCTTCCTCGCGCAGCTCGGGTGGGTTGCAGGATGTCCGGGGAGAACCCCCGAGAGTGCGCGGAGCCTGTGGGGCCCGCGGCGCAGGCACCCCCGGAGAAAACCAGCGACTACTACCGCGTAGCCGAGGACCTACCCGTCAGGTTCAACAACCCGGCGTGGTTCCGGGGCTACAGGTGAGGACAGTGGAGTCCCGGCCGGGTCCACAGGGCAAACGCAGAGGAAAAAGAGGCCGTCTCCTCCAGCGTGCATACAAGTGCCTAGCCGGTCCTCCGCTCTGCTTACACGGTCCTGTATGCAAGACTTCCCGGTCGCCAGTCCGCTCTGGCCCTCGAGTCAAAGCTCTTTGGGTCAAATGAGCTGCCAAAGTGCTGCCTAAAGCTTTAGACAGAGTCAGTGGGCCTCCAGCCAATGCAGGTGGGACAGTGGGTGACCCCAGGGGAAGTCACAAAACCCGACTGGGGAATGGGGGTGGGGTAAATCGTCTCCACTCTTCTCTAGGCTGAAGACAACTCTGCCAAGTGTGCCCTCCGTCATCCTGCTGAGTCAGTGGCCTGTGAGCCTTTCCAGGCGTTGCAAACCCTACACCCTTCCTCACACCTGGGTAGGGACTTGAAGGTGTACCACCTTTCCTGCCCTCCTGCCTTTAGTCCCTTCCACGATCCCTTAGAGTCGGTCTGTTATTATCCTCGTTTTCCAGGAGAAACAACGGGGATTGTATTGGATTGTCGGAAAACTCATGACGTATTTTTTTCTGTTTTTCATTGCAAAAATGGGTCATGACTTTTCTGACAACCCAATAGAAGGATCGTACCTTGCCCGAGATCATATAGCATGAGGTAGAGCTGGGATGTCTGGACCCACAGTCCACTTCGTCAAACTGTCCGTCTAGTAGTGTCAGTACAGGAGACTGCAGGCACATGTTCTCAGGAGGCTCAGAAGTGGAGGGGCCCCCCTGGGTGGCAGGGTCTGGAGGCTGAGCCACAGCTCCCGGGCTACCCCGGAAATGACAGCATGTCATTTCATGTGCCATGTCTGAGCTGGCACTGAAGACCCGCACTTGCCCCCTGGAAATTCTTTAGGGCTTTGGCCTGCTCTGCAAAGAGCAAGGGTGGCAGAGGTGTGCAGGGGCTCGGGGGTTGGGGGTGGGGTGAAACTGCATTCCACTGGAGCCCATGTTCACAGTTGCATCACCAACCTGGGGCATTTCCAACAAAGTTCCATCAACCAAATCCTTGAAAGCTGTGGCTTGGTCAGGATTAGAATAAATGGGTTTCTCATCTGCCAGGACCAAGGAGCCCGCCTCGGTGTACAGGACCAGTAACCAAGCTTACGGGAGCAGAGCCCCCACGGTGCATGAGATGCCAGTAAGCAGGAAGCAAGGAAGGGCACGTGTGCATGGGGGGACATCTCTAGAAGAGGCTAAAGCCCATTGTGGGGGTGGGGTGGGGTGGGGTGGGAGGGCCCAAAATTCCAACATCACAAAGTGGAAGGGACACCTCAAATCGTGTTGGATCAGGGCCAGTTAGAAATGAAGGAATCTAGCAATGAAACCTCTTAAAGGATGAAAAAAGTACATATAGCCTTGCCTATGACCTCTCAAAGGACTGGCCCCATTCACCCATAGACGCCACCAAAGCTTGTGACCGAAGGCAGTCCATTTTAAGGCAAATAAATAAAGGCCCAGTAACCGCCATAGGAGCACAGTTGGTCAGAGCAGAACTGGGGGTGGCTTCGGGCCTGACCCCCAAGTCAAGGCTCAGAACCATGCCCAGGGGGCCCCGTCACTGACCCTTCTATCAGTGTAATAGTGAAAGGAGGCACTATTGACAGTTATTCCCGGACATCAGGCATACATTGGGACGGTCTGGGCTAAACTGGGCCATCCTGCCCGCCCTGGCTTTTCTGCTTTCTAGGAGTAGAGATGACATTTTCTTACAAATTCTTATTTCTCTTCCAAAAATACCTAAGGACTGACTGCTTAAGAGTATTATCATGCATCACTGTGTTCCCTTTTCCCTTCCAGAAAGTATTCTATGCCCAGTCGAATAAATTTTCCAGACAACTTGCAGCTGGTGGAATGTCCCAGAACAATACTTTGAACACGCAAGTGGACAAGAGCATCGTGACAGGTGCCGACAACCACATCACCGCCTACGACCGGCTCAACTTCCACCCCAGTTACAACGTCAGCAGGCCGTCGTTTTGTGACTGAGGGGACGGGGACACCTCCCTCTGAGGTCTCCTGACCCCAGCGGTGGCCATCTAGAGACTCATCACCCCTGATCTTTGACAATTTGCCCAGTTGTGAAGGCGACAGAATTCACTGCTCTCCCTCAAAAGTTTCCCTCTCTAGATTAGAAAAATATGCAAGTGGGGCTGTCATGTCTTACTTTCTCATTATATCTGAGATGGAAAAGGTGCTAATGCCTTGACTTTCATTACAAATGTTGCCGCACCCTGACTTTCCAACTCGCCTGTAATTAAGGAGCAGGTCTGTGGGCGTCCCGGGACCCAAATGTTGTCCTGAACACCGTTCACCTTCATCCTTATTTGGAGGCTTGTTCACACTCGTGACAAATTATGGAGCAGGTCCTGTTCTAAAGCGACCTGAAATCTGCACAGACCCTACAAGGCGGGGAGGGACAGGTGAGCATGGATGGGAGTGGTCCAGAGAGGGGAACTGCAGAGCCCTTCCAGAAAGCTCCCGGCAGGAGCAGGCAGGGGGGCCATGTCGTCCCAGCACAAAGGACAGGCTCCAAGTTCCACTGAACACCCTCCAGCCACGAGGAAGGGCCGGGTGAGAGGCTCAATAAATGAACAAGGTTGGCAAGTGCAGGGCTGATGACCACACGGGAGTTCTCTTCTTCGTGTTCATTTTAAACTTTCAATAAAAAGTCAAAAAGGAAAAAAAAAGGCAGGCGAGGAATAACATTTTTCTCAGGTGGGGAAATAGCTGTATTAAGGGGATTTTTATCTCTGTGTACTTTGTCGTCAATCAGCGTTTCCTGAGTTAGAGGGCCCTCAATAAGAACTTTTCTGTGATGGTACATCTTTCAGACATAGATCTCCCGCTTCCATTATGACAGCAAGACGTGCTCATTTCAGGACAGAAGAAACCCTTGTTACATGCCATCCATAGCTTCTTGTTTATGGAAATTTTTACCCAAAGAGAGTTTACTCACATATGAGTTTGGGAAGAAATCAAACACCAACTGGTCATTTCTTCATTAAAAACATTTTATGATTAATCCACAAAATAAACATTTTGGCAACATTCTTAATGTCCAATTTGGAGTGAAAACGGTTTCCAGAGAAAATCAATATATTTACTAAAAAGATGCAAAGCTGAACCTGAAGCCAGGATTTGTGTAATGTCCTTCTCCTGAGCTGAAAAACCAGCAGACTCCAGGCATCAAACTGAAAACGAGTTTTTACAACCCCTCATTAAAAACACCAAAATGCTAAGAACTCTTCTGCGTTTAGCCTCTGTTGAAATAAAAAGAGAAAAAGAATGCCTCTCAACCAAGTTTCTAAACTCACCACAAAATATGAATTCCCTGCTGGGCAGCTGACCGAGAAGCAGGTCGGAGGCTCCAGGAGAGCAGAAAGCCAGCAGCAAAAGAGCTTTGTCCTCCCCGGCTTCGACTGGTGAGCGCCTGCACTGGGGGACAAGACAGTGCACGCAAAAAGGAAACACCACTGAACTGGGAGAAACGGCCCAGTTCGGCCTGGGAGTGTCTTCCCGCTTGACATCAACTAACAAAAGAGATGCCAACCAATCCATACACAGACAGGGAAGGTAAAATAGAGTTTCCAGGAGAAGGCCTAGGAAATGTCGTCTTCATGACCTTGGGTAGGTCAAGGTTTCTTAAAGGAAAAGACTCATGAATTGGACTTCATTGAAATTGAGATATAGCTATATTCCTAAAATAAAATAAAATAAAATAAAAAGATGCCAAGCTCTCCGGTGGGCGCTCCAAAGTGCATGCTGGCATCATAACTGGACACTGGTGGTGGCCAACACACTGATGTTTCTGTGACAGTTGCTAATGAGTTACCCTCTATATTTAGAAATAATAGAATTATTAATAATTAATAGACAAATAGAATAAATGTCTGGAAAGCTGGAAAACAGAAATACCTTTGGTTTACATGTCCATTTTCCCCAAAACTCAGCCACTGTTCTTCTGACGCTTCGGCCCCTGTGGGCTGTGGGTGGCCACTTGTCTCCATTTGTCTGCCATCAAAGGACTTTGACATTGTCACCTCCTTCGTCACGCACACCTGGGGCAAGCTTATGCCTGCACCTCCATTTCTGGATGGGAAAATTAGGGTCCAAAGGAGGGGCCTGTGGCAGGCCCTGGGCTTGAACCCACGTTTGGGGTGTCCTGGGAGGGGGGAGGTCACCAGCGTCTGACCCCACTTTCTGGCTCTAACTTTCTACATATTTGCACAAGTCATACAGGAACTCCAGTGATTATAAATCTTGTGAAATTTACCTTGTTAACATATTTTCAAACTGGAATCTTTGTGTATTGAGCCCTGGGAAAAAGAAGAGATTAGAGCCACAGGTCTAACTGTTCTCTTTGGGGTGACAGCATACAGAATGGGTGGCTGAGAAATGAAAATGACATCCCCTCACGCTGACCTTTGTAATGAGTTCTTTCAAAATCTTAAATCCATCAGAACGATTATAGAAATGGCAACTGAAACATTAGGGGTGACAAAAGCCAGCTTCCAACTTTAAAATATAAATTTCGTGGCTACTTCCTGAAAACCCGTCTTCATCCACGAGTAGGTCTTTGCTCGGGCTGGCCTTTGAGTCCATTCTGAAAGCTAACACTGGGAAGTGAAGTCTCATGGCCTTTACTAATCGTTTAGCTGCTGGGTCAGCTTCAAACCAGTCACTTCTTACTCTAACTGTATATTTTCATTTACGTTTGTGTATTTTCCTCCAGTAACCTTTAATCTTTTAATTATAGTCAATTAGAATAAGAGGTTTCAAACATAAACTACATCAACACTGAAAAAAACCGTCCAGCATACACAATAGCAGACGCCTCAAAGATTCTGCAAACAGTGCACTGCGCCCACCCCGCCCCCTAGCGGCAGTGCTTGGTATTAACCTGGTTGTGGTTTGCAGGAACGGATGGTGGGATTTGTGCTGTTTCCATGGGAACAGGCCCTTAATTTCCCAGGAGTGGGGATCGAGTAGCAATACTTTTTATACTTTCCTATGCGCAGATAAGGTGCTAATATTTAAATTTAGTGCTCGATTTTCTAGAGGAAGTATATCTCAGGCTGGGAAAACCTGCCACCTGACGATTCAGGTTCTGGGCAACAGGTAAGAGTGACTCTTGGGCGCAGGAGACCCTCCCTACATGGGGACGTGGGTGGTGAGTACTGAACACGAACAGGACTTTCTCCCTCTTCCCACTCCTGTTCCGCGGGACTTGACTGCAGACACAGGGACCCCGCTAACCTGCCCCAGAGCACCAGATACCCCTTAAAATCGGGTCCCCCCTTTTCCTCGCACTGAATGAAATAAACCCCAGCCCCAGGCAAACAGACCCACCCCCTCACTCCCTGGGAGGTGACAGCAGCTCTGTGGGTGTCATTGTCTGTAGGTCTTAACAATTACAGCTGGGTTCAGTGACACATCATCCGCCCGGCACCCTTTCCGCAGGTGGGTGTGCATTTAGCATCTCAGGCAGCGGCTTCTGTGACACTGCCATACGTGGCCAGGTCCTGCCCTGGCCAGCAGAAGTGTGGGACAGAGGCTGCAAGTGTCACAGCCAGTTGTCACTCGACGGCGCTCCCATCTGCCCCCACTGCAGTGCCCTTTCCAGACAGGGCGCAGGGGACACTTCTGACCAAGGCCCTGGCGTGTGCCAGTCGACCTGTGGTGTGAAGCACAACGTGTCCTGTTGGCTGTCTCAGGGATGGGCCGGCACAATCAGGCTTATGTCCGGTTTGTGAAAACAAGGCACGTGTGACGGTAGGCAAACAGAATGGGGCTCAGTGTCACACAGGTGGTGGGAACTCGGGAGACAGGAAGAGAGGCAGGTGTGAGGGGTCCCGGGTCTGGGGGAGGCTAGGATGGGTGGAAGCAGCAGCGAGGTAGGTGCTCAGTGTTAAATGTGCTGATGGCACTGGTGCGACACCGCAGGTCCCAGACATTGGGTGCTTGTGACATCCTGCGAAGGCCACCCCACACAGGACAAACTCTGCAAACAGGCTCATAAGCAGTGCTTGATTTATTAGCTTTTAGAAAATGGTTCTTATATACAAAACAAGCTGATGTTTGTTTTTGAGTGTTAAACGCACTCGTTAAAAATTAAATAAAATTTAAAGCATGGATTACATAAACTGTTTTTCCTGGAAGCACTTCAGTGAATGAATATTTGACAATGGGGATCTCAAATGCACATCACGCAGGCACCAGACAGTCACGAAGTCCACGGGCCCACTTGTCATGGCATCCGACCAGGCAGACACCGATTGTGAGTGCTGGTGCAGGTCCACCTTGGGGTACAGAAGCGAATCACTGCTAAAACCCAGGGGCGCACGCCATGTGGAAAATTCATTTGCAGTGAGAATACCATCTACATTCAGCTGCCAAGTCAACCTTGTTCCAGGGCCATCCCAGCGACGTCACAACGTGAGCTGTCAAACTCCGGGCAACCGATGCAAGTTTGCCGGACAACTGTAAGTCAAGGTCGTGACTGGTCAGTGCCCAGCCCCATGGGACACATCTGTCCCTCCTTTCTCTACAGTAGCTGTAGGTATTGCCACAGCCACAGAACGGGAGGCACAGGACACCATGCTCTCCCCTCTTCTGTGCTCAAACACTGACAGTGCCACACTTGGGACGACGTGGCCCTGGGAGGCAGGCCCTCCGAAAACCATGGGAAGTGTCTGCTCGGCTGCTCCCTGGACGGTGTGGTGCTGTCGTTGGTGCTCCAGCTGTCTGGGCAGCTCCAGCCAAGCTCATTGGTGAGCACAGCTCAGAATACGGACATTACAGACACACAGGCTGCCCGTTACCTTGTCGGGCCTAAAAATGGACAGCAGCTCCCAAATAAAAAGAGGTTTATTGAGCTGTTAGAACCATGAAGTCATTGAACGGGATCGGACACAAGATGACAAAGGCTTCGTGTGGGAACCAGTGGGACCTGTGCCGAGCTCTCAGCTGGGATTCCCAAACGCAGCGGGGAGTGGCCAGCGTGCTGGCTGGTCTCTGTGCTCTGACACGTTCTTCTGATCGGAGGCTGTGACTGCAGTGTTCCGAGGATGTGCTCTGGTCTCTCAGGCCTGGGGTCCCCTCTATAAGAAGTGCTGGCCAGGAGCCTCCCGACAGAGACCTCGACTGGGGGCTCTGATGGTGCCCTGGGCGGGCATCACTGCTGCCCCCTCAGGCTGAACTGCAGGCACAGCCAGACGTTTTCAGCAGCGATAACCCCAAAGTATCAATCTGAGTCCCTTTAAACCTGGCTGTGACGGGCACAGCCAAGTGTTTGCAAACCTAAGACTTGTATGGAGGCCACAGAAGCTACAATGAGGGGCTCGCTACAAAATCAAACAACTATATTTTCCAAAAATAGTTTTTACAGCACTTTAAATAATTTACAAAAAAGCTACAAAAATCATATTTACCAGGACACACGTGTGAAACAAGACATCATTTCCTGCTAGTTCACCCCTTAACCACAGCATCACACGCACGCACGTCCACGTGCCATCCACACATGTGGAAACCAGGGCGTGTTCTCACAGCTTGAGGACCTTGCCCTTGGCCACAGGGCCGCCGCCGCCTTCCTCCATGGAGGTGTCACTCAGCTCACTGGCGTCGCTGCCCCAGGCCTCTGGGTCATCGTGGTCTGTCTCCATCATGCTCCGTCGATACCGTAGGTCTAAAATGGCCTCCTCTGACCCCGAGTTCCTCCTGTCATGTAAGCTGAGCGCTGCCGATGCCCTCCTACTGGGCCAGTGTCCACCCTCCTTCTTCATGAGCAAGTGGGAGCTTCCAAGCACGGGGCCACGGCTGGCCGGGGGCTCTCTGAAGGCCGAGAAGGACGGGCCCTGCAGAGGCAGGCTCAGGGGCGTGCTGAAGAGGCCGGCTGGCTTGGCCCCCCAGGAGACGCTCTTCCCAAAGTGGAATAACTGTGTGGAGAGCAGCGGAGAGAAGCCTGCGAAAGGCAGGGCTCTCTTGGGGTCCGGGGGGAGGCTGGGTGCGCATGGGGCCTGTCCTTCGGGCCCCTTCTCCCTCTCGCCCCCGAGGCCCCCTTTCCACACCGTGTCCCTGCCTTCTGAGCTCAGCACCCACGTGCTCTGCAGCTGGCTCTGGCGGGCAAAGTCGCCCCACGGGAGGGTGAGGCCAGCCTGGGGCCCCCCTTCCCTGTCTGTTCCCGGGCTCCGCGTCAGTGTGCTCCGTCTCCTGGAGCTCATGGGCAAGGCCCCACCGGGGCTTCCTGCCCGGGCACCAGCTTCCGCACAACTGGACAGCTGACCAAAAGCTCTGTCCCCGGTGGCAGGCCCGGCCCCTCGTGGGCTTTGGTCTTTGTGAGAATAAAGGTTTCTCTTACCAGTGGGTGACCCTCTGGCAGACACAGTCCCACTGGCACTCCTGGGTGGCACCAGCTGGCCCCTGGCCAGAGCGGCGGGGAGGCAGGCCTGCGCCGCATGGGGGCCGGCCCTCAGTCCCACGGCTGGCTGAGGGGTCCCCCTGCCCCTCTGGCTCCGCGTGCACATGCCAGGCTGAAGGGCCAGGGCCGGGGCCACCACCTTCCTGCACAGCAGCTCTGGCCTGGGTACGTTCCCCGGCCCGAGCCTGGTGGGACCCCCTCCTGGAATTTCTGGACCGCTCACGGACTCTTTGGCCTTTTCTGCCAGAAACTTCCTGATCTCCAGTTCAATGCTGTCGTCGCTGTCCACGGAGCTGCTGTCATCAGACCGGGAGCTGGAGCTGGCGGCCAGGCCACGAAGTCCGCGGCGTTTCGCTTCGCTGGAGAACAGGTGCCCTTCGCAGACTCCTGGCCCCGACCAGAAGGCCGGGGGCACGTCCAGGGGGCCAGCGCCACCCAGCTTCGTGCTCTCTGTCTGGCTGCCAAAGACGCGCGAAGGTTTCCTCAGCGGGTTCTCCCTGCTGTCCTTTTTGGACTTTGAGAGGCAGCTTTTCAGCAAGTGTGGGCTTCTGTCTTTCCAGTCTCTCTGGAAGCCGCCCAGCTGGTCCAGGAACTGCGCCTCAGTGGTGCTGAACCTCACCTTCTTCTTGCCTGCGGCCCTGGGGTCCCGACACCGTCTCTTGAGCTGCCGCTTGGATCGTAACAAGTCCTTAATGGCAGTGTCCAGGTCCTCGTCGCTGTCCAGCGAGCTGCTCTTGTCCTCGGAGCTCTCCTTCTCGTCTACACTCCTCGCCTCGACCGCCTTCCCCTGGCCTGGTGACACGCCGCCCCTCGCGTCTGGGGCCATGTCCTCGTCACTCAGCCCTACCGTCCTGCAGGGGAGAGGCTGGCCTCTGGCCTCGCCCTCCCTTCCGGGGGCCTCGCCGGCTCTCCCCCGGCCAGGCTGTGTTCTCCCCTGGCTGTGGTCGGCGTCCAGGGCGCCCTCTTTTACTGCCTCTCTCGCTTTCTTGGGTGTGGGCAGCCGCACAGTGCTGCTGCCTCCTCTGCGTTTCCTTTTACTGCTCAGCGATGGGGCCTGTGTCTTGGAGCTCGGGGCCTTGGGGCCACCAGCCTGGCCGTTGGGGCCAGGTGACGGCACCGGGCTCTGTGCGTACGGTGGGCAGGTTTCTGTTCTGGCCAGCAAAGTCCCCGACTGCGCCTTCAGCGCCAAAAACGTCCGTATCTCCTGCTCTATGCTGTCATCGCTGTCCACAGCACTGCTGTCCCCATCTGAGCGGGAAGGCGCATTTGGGGAACGGAGGAGCAGGCTGGTGGACAGGGGCCCGTCGCCGCCTTCCCCAGGGGCCGGCAGGGCCGTTTTGGAGATGTCGAGGATTGCTTCGGCACACATGAGCTCGGTGGGTGTGTCTGCCCGGCACGAGGCCCGGTCCACACACTCGCTCTTGGCAGCTGTGTTTCCTGGCGGGGCAGGGGCTTTGGTTTCCTTTGGCGGCTTGGAGGGGTGCTCCGGGTCAAGGCCACCGGGGCCGAGGTCCATGGTCTTCGAGGCCACTGGCCTCTTCTTGCCTGGCATTTTCCTGTTGGTTTCGGGCAAGGCACTTTTTGTGGAGTGGCTCGAGCCGTGTGCAGGAAGGTCGGGCCCCTGCTCCTCCCCCGGGGAGGTTTTCTGCGGTGGGTCCGCGCTCGCCTCCTTTCTTTTCTCCAGCTGGTACAGCTGGATGGCCTCCTCAATGCCGTCGTCGCTGCTGGAGTCGGAGGCCTCGCGCACCAGGGCTGCGCTCCTGAGCCGCTGCCCCCTCCTCCCGGGGCTCACGCCCTTCTTGACACCACCTTTATTCTGGGCTGCTTCCGCGGGGCGGCAGGCGGCAGCTGGCCTCGGGGCTACTGGCTTCGTACTGCCCACGCTCTCGGGCTCAGTGGTGACCTTGGACCTGAGGCCTCTGGGCTGTGCTGTCGCCTTTGCCAACCGGGGCGGCTTCCGGAAGACAAACTCCTTATGCACTCCCGTCAAATCCTGCCGATGCACTTTGATCGGCTCTGTGCTAGATCTCAGTGCTGGTCTGGCCAAGCTGTCGTTGGGGTCTGGCGTTTCATCCACAGACACGTCACATTTTGGGGTCTCGTGCTGTCTTTTCTCACTCAGAAACTGCTCTATTTCTGCCCGGATGCTCTGCTCAAAGGAGTCCTCGCTGCTGACACTGACTGGGGACGCGGAGCCCTGGTCCTTGCTGGCCCCCATGCAGCTGCCTGGGACACCTCCTGAGCCAGCTGCAAGTTTTGGGGGACACAGGGCAGTCGGGGTGCTGCTCTTAGGGGGTTCTGGTTTGCACCGGTTGTCCCCATTGGCGGCCGCGGGGGGCTGGGTGGCCCCGCTCTTGGCCTTCAGGTACTCCTGGATGGCTTCCTCAATGTCCCGGTCCACAGAATCGTCACTGTCGGAATCGAGCAGCGAGGGGCCGACATCTGCAGCTTGCTCATCTCCCTTGGGGTCAAAATCAGCAGCAAGACCACAGGCAGCCGAGGTGGGGCTGGTGCCCCAACGGTCGTCATGGCCCCTCTCTGCCCTCTGGCTCCCGTGCAGGGTGCGCTCATGGCTCATGCCCTGCGCAGCCCGGGCGCCCTGAAGCGTGCTGATGATCATGTGCACGCTGGCACTCACCGCCGTGCCCCCCACGCCCTCTGTTGCCTCCGAGCAACAGCCGGGAAACCTACAGCTCCCCAGCGGGCCGAAGGCCTCCCATGTGGACTGGAGAGCAAGCACAGGAGGGGCGTTCATGAGAAACATCCTAGCGGACAGGGAGGGATGTGCAGAGTTGAGTCTGTCTGTCTGTCCGGTTCACATCCTGGGGAAAGAAAGCACATTGCTCAGATGCCACTGAGTGAGGTGATGGCATTGTGGCCGGTCAGCGTCCGGCCAGCTGGGGGCCCACGTGAGGCAGGCTTCGTGGCCCTGTGTCCTGGGCTATGAAGTGGGACTGCCGTGAAGACCCGATGAGAAAACGTCTCTGGGCTGCCTGCACGCACTCGCAGTAGCACCCCTGTGTCACTCTCCCCACCTGTGTCACACCCTCCCACCCGTGTCACCCCCACCCCCCTGCCCCGGCTCTGACTTTGGGCCCCCATCGTCTCTGCAAGAAGACAGGTCTCCTTTACCTCAAAAAGCTGTCCAGGGGTGCCAGTGAGAGAGAGGCCGCAGACAGTTCTCTGTGAGTTGAAAGAATGAGATTCTGAGCCTGGGTTAGTTAGGGGCCTTCGTGGGTTGGGTCACTCTGGACATTAGCAGCAAGCTCCTGCAGGGAAACATTGTGTGACGTGAGCAACCCGACAATTACTTCCCCAAACATCTTCAGTCGCTTTTTGTTCAAAGATGTCAGATGTATTTGCTAGATGGTCTCATGCAACCATATCATTATTTTGGCTACTTAGCATACAAGTTGCCCCCAAAACAGTCACATGCCGTGTTTTCATCCTGTGTGGTCACCCACGGGTCCCGTGTTTCAGACCAAATGTGGCTTTTGTCAGCAGAACTGCGGGGCAGGTCCTGGGAACACTGATGACCAGGTGGCAAACAGCTTCCACACCGAAGGTCTGGGGACCACCGCTGCAGAGCGGGCCATAATGTGGCTGGCAAAAGGTCAAGCCGAAAAACATGACACACCAGATATCTGCTAATTTTTAGCATGTTTGTCTGCCTTATCGCGACCCCACCAACTGGAATGCAAAGCTGCTGAGATGCAAGAGGGCAGCCTAGCACTGCATTTATGGAAACAGGAAACTGAGTTCCACCCCAAAAACGGTGCCAGGCAAGGCTCTCACCACCCTGGGGAGCTCAGGGGTGGGATGAAACCGGCCTGTGGATTTGCTTTGCTTCCGACACAGACCTTTCTCTACCAGGAGCTTCCTTTCTGCAGAACACGTAATCTTGTTTACACACCAGAGTCCTCTCCTCCAAGAAAGCGTGGCCCAGCCACCTAGGCACAGACATGCCCCACCAGGTGTGACCGGCGACTCACCAGAGGGTGCAACAAACTCAACAGCAAGTCACTTGCTATTACTGATTTGTGCTCAAAAAGTGAAACCACAATGCAACAGAATTTCTTGCACTTACTTGAAACTCTCTTCAAGTCCAGGTTCAGTCTGACGACACAGCAGCCAACCCTGGCACAAGGTCGCAGGCCCAGGGTCTCCGTGGCTCCACCTGCACTCCATGGCGCCCTTTACCCACGTTTAAAATGGACTTTGGATTGCCAGGACTAAAGAGAAGCAGAGACATCTAATTCAGAGGCTGAAGCCACAGCTAGTAAATACATATATGTATGTATTTTGGAAACAAATAGCATCAATTTAAGGGCTCAAAATAAATTCTGAAAGAACTTACTCTGAGATCAAATACAGTTAATCACAACTAGTTTACCACTGTCTGGCCGTAGATCTGATACTATAGGATGCTGCTGGGGGAGTACGTGAACCTATCTGCCAGTTCTCAGACCCTGGCAGCCACTACAGCCCACAGTCCCTCCCGTAACATCACAGCCGCAGAGCAGCAGGCACCAACAATGTGTGTGTGTGCGCGTGTGTGTGCGCACGCGCGCGCACGCGCGGGGTTTGTGGGGGGGTGTGGGGGTAGAGGAGGGCTCTTTCACTTGATGGGGACCTGTGCCCGCCTGGCAGTAGTTATTATTCAAAATCACAGAAATTACCAGACGTTTGAGTAGGCCTGGGGCTGTGAAGGGTCTACATCGAGAATATTAACTCCTGAAACAGCAACACTATTTTAAAAAGGGCCCAGGGACGAACCCCAATGCATCAGGCTGTAGTGGCTTCTACACTACAAAGTTGGAAGCAAAGTTGGGGGAAGAAAGCCATTGGGCTGTACGAACGGTCTGCTGAGTTCATGACTCTTAATTGACTGCAGACAGAGCTTGGACTCCTAGGAACAGTTTTCTGAGTTGTCAAATTACCTAGCAGAAGAATGAGGTTAGAATTCACAGGGCATCTCCAGCGACAGCCTGTGGCTTTAAAACAATCAACTGCGTGAGATGAATCACTCTGGAAAACTCCCCTAAACTGCACTTGGAGAGAACTGTGAGCTAACGCCAGGGGCTCAGGTTTGTCCAACTGCCACCCTGCACCGAGGGCCCAGAACCAGGTCTCTAGGGTGGCTGTGGGGACAACCAGCCCTGCACCCCGAAGCCACATGGTGCCAGATTTTAAAAAGTAGTGGAGGGACCCTGACATCTTCTCAGGCTAGACACCCACCTTCAGGGGGACAAAACCTGGCTTATGGTTCTTCCTAACGATCTGGCTTCCTGCACGAAACACCCCCCCAATGGTGACATTTCTTGAGTCACCAGAAGCAATTCAGCTCTTGTTCTTACTTCCCGGGTGCCCCCCACCCCGCTCGGGGCGGCTAGAGGGGTGAGGGCCGGGTGAGGGTCCATTCGGGGCGACCTGAAGTGGGCGCGGGCTGGGGTCAGACCTCACACCATCGCAGCAATGTCTCCCCACGTAAAGCGGCGGTGCCACCGCGCGTGACTGGGGGGCCGGAGGCTGGCGAAGGCCCTCGACGCTGACCCCGTCCTGCCCTTTCACCCCGAGCACAGGGGCGCCCCCTGCCCGGGGGCGCCGCACCCGCGCTGCCTTGGCCGGCGCGACCTCTGCGTCTGCGACGGCGCCCTGGCGCCAGGTAGGTGCGAGCACCCCCCGCACGGACGGGGCCGGGCCTCCACGCGGGGCTGCGCTCCACGGCGACCGGGGCCGCTCCGTGACCCTCCCGGAAGCCGCGCCGGGCGCGGAGCGTGGCTGCCCTTCCGCGGGGGGGCCGGGCCCTCGGCCGAG